TTCATATGGATGCTCTGGAAAAAATCTGCTTATAGGTAGGAAGCTTGAATTGCACAAATCATGGGGTTACGCATTGAGAGTTCTGTGTGTGTATTTGAAAATTGTACTGCTCTAAGGAAGGGAAGGAGACCAGTCTGTAGATTCTTTTTTTGCTATTTTAAAAGAAAATGAGCTGACTGGAGGATGTAAAAATAGAAAGGGTAGAAGAAAAGCTTCCTCTCTGGGGACTTGTGTGCTGTCTTTAAGACGTTTTGGAAAAGCACTTAGGTCCAGCTTGTGATCTGAGGTACACTAGGGCTCCTGCCACAGCCAGATAAAGTATCTTATTGTCACTAGCTTATGGCCTGTGCCTATCTATCTAAAGATTAAAAGCAGATAATCTTTTTCATTGGTTTCTAACTGGCTGTGAGATGAACAAATATGTAGAGTTTAAATATTATTTTTTTAAAAAAAAGCACTGTACCTCAGGAAAATAACTTTGGCCTGAAGGTAGTAGAGGGAAAGGAGAGGTAATGGAGGAGAAGATCAGATTATCTGTGTAGCTGTGGATTCAGGCTGAGAGAAGGCCCAGCAAAGCTTGGGGAAAAGCCAAGGAATGAGGCATCAGATGAAGCTTAGAGCCCTCTGAGATGCAGGAAGCTTCTGACAAAGCAAAACACCCTGCTTTATGCTGTAATTCTGACTTTCTTCAGGGCTAGTCCTCTGCATATGCCTATCTTAAGAATGTGCCTTTGTGTTTATGATCTGGTAATAGCAGCATCAACAGTCTGAGAAAAGCAACTCCATAATAGGAAGCTCATGTGAGACATAGGAGGGGGCGTTGGAATTTCTCTCTGTCCCTCCCTCACTAAAAATGCTAGAAACAAAAATATTGTGAAGACTATAGCTTTTGTGTGAAAAACCTAACAGTTCTTGAAGAGACTGGGTGTGTTGTGCTCTTTGTGTGAAAGAGACAAGAAGTAAGGTGTTTTAATTGCATACAACAGTTCAGTGATTAATTAAACTCCAGCTGATGCCCTTGGTGTGTGAATAGAGTTTACATATGTAAATGATGGGGAAATGGTGTCAACAGGCTTTCATGTTTTATCATCTGCTCCCTTATATGTATCTATGGGCCCTTTTTTTAAGTTCATAGCTTGGCAGAAGCCAGTTCTGTCAGTTTGTGGTAACAGTGGTGTTCCTGATTGGCAAAAGGTAGCACATGACAGCATGGTGTGGGTTTTATGAGCAGTCACTTGGATGTCTTTCGGGGTGGTTCCTATTGGCTCACAAATATCTGACCTGTATGCTGGGTAATGGCTTCTGTCAAGATCTCAAAATCAGGTTCCATTGCTTTCACAGCACTTCAGGAAGCTGTTACAGCAGTTTGCATGGATAATCGAGATGTAACAAATTGCCTACGCTGACCAATGTTATTACTGTACAGGAATTACTTCCCTGTCCTCAGTACAGACATGTCCTTAAATTCACTAGCAGTATCTTCAAATGGTGTATTTCAGCACAGCTCTCCCAGTAGCGGCAGAGCTACAGTGTCTTGTGGGGTGTAGGACAACAGGCTTCCCTGGGTACGAGTTTTCTCTCTGCGTCTCAATCGTACAACATATAACTCAAGGCTGACACCCCGTGGCCAAGAAGGCTTTTTTCTTCCCTGGGTTGCTCTTATTTTTCAAGGGACCAGTAACTTCCTTGCCTCTTGCTTTTATTTGACTTTGCCATACTTTGATTTTTATTTGCATCTGCTCCAACATTTAAGGCTATATTGCATTATTTTTCTGGTTATTAGAGTTCATTCTACTAGATTTTTTAACAACAACTGCTAACTCTGAATATGTTTGTAACTTCTTCCTGAAGAGGAATATTAAGTCAAATATACAGATGAAAAAATAATGCTTGTAATGTGTTAAATAAAATGCGAGAAAATATGGCGTGGGGAATAATTCTGACATAATCTAAGAAGGCCATGCAGATACTTTCCAAGTCTTGTTTTTAATTTCTACTTAAACCTGATTAGGAGCAGGGGGTGCAGTCAGATATACTGTTGTCCCCTTTGCTTAAAGCTGTAGGAAACAGGATTGTGTAATAAATCTGTGCACTTCTCAACAGCCTTCCCTCCTCTCCTCAGTGTTGCATGTATACTGCTTTTGTTTGCCTTTGCTGGTTTTAAGGCAAAAGGATAAGCACACATGCCCAGCAGGAGGGAGCAGAGCTGCACAGAATGAAAGATTCAGATTTACTGACTACATTTCACATAATCCTGCAGGATTTAAAAGTAAATCCTACCTCGTTGTATTTGCAGTGTCTGACACCCTTTTCGAAGTGCTGTAAACATGGAGAATGTGACCATTTATCTGAGGCAAGGCACTGTATCTTAACTGACACTGTTCCTCCTTGAAAACTTTCTTTGGAAGAGGTTAATTATATGGACATGTGCTCCCAACTGGAGTGATAAATGGAAAACTTTTTTCCCTTTTTCAGACTGTGCTGTGTTGTCAAATTATCCTTCTCTTAATCATGCTTACAGATCTCCTTTTGACTGATTATTGTCTACTGTCTTTAGTATCACACTTATTAGCGCATGCTTCAGATTTTATGGGACAAAATGCAGAAGAGTGTATGCAGGGTGCAACTGTGGCTTCTTAAAATCCCAAATCATGGCATATCAGAGCCTGGGAGATGGCTCTCTGGACATCTGCCATGGATGGCTCTCTGCTTTAAATGTCACCTGCTGGGCTACAGTAATCTGTAGGGCTGGAGGAAGGTATGGTCTGGAAGACTGGTAGTGAGGCTGTTCTCGCTGTGTTCGTCCTTCACAACTCCTGTCCCAGCAGTGTGAAGCAAATGTGTACATATGCTGTGGGGGTGTGCTGGCAGGCACAGACTCTGGGCTGGGGTAACAAGACATGTAACAGCTCCACTTGTTATCAAGCAATAAAGTTTCTACTGAAGCATCAGGTTTATTTGAGGCCTCATCTTAACTCTGTTTCTTCAGATCACTTGCACTCCAGTTTTGCAGTAATCACAGATGTGGTTTTGTTCCTGCTGAGAAGTTTCTTTGGTTTGCTAGGTGGCTGAAATTTCCTATTTTTTTCACTCGTGTACATTTGTCTTTAAAAAGCACATACTGCTACTAAAAAGTTTCTTGACAGTCACTACTGGAAAGGCAGTCAAATAGAGAAATGCCAATAAGAAGGCAAAGTAGGGTATGACAAGAGCTGAAAGATTTTGTTAGGATACCGTATAATGACTAAGAATAAGTAAAAATCTCTCGTAAACTTTGATCCTTGCCTCTTTCTATCATATTTAGCCTCAGCCTGCACAAAATGAGAACTGATGGTGTGTAAAGGAATTAAACTTGTATAATACCAAAAAGGAGGAGATGAGCAGCAACAAACTACTGTGTCTCTCTCCCTCCTTTGCTGGGACTGATATGTGTTAATCCAGATAATTCAGATGCTTTTGCCTGAGATATGCCTAAGCAAACTCTATATCCTTTCAAACTGCTATGGAATAAAGCCTCTGGGGATCAGTGAGAGGGTAATAGAAACTAAGAGATGTTGCATGGCTGGTATTCTTCTTAGACAGACTTGGATTCAGCTGGATGACCCAGGGCATCCTGCAGTATTTGTTAGAACAGAGGAAATACTCAAACTTGACTTTAAAGCTCTGAGCAATAGGGACCTCGCCTTGCTAAAGCTTTGGTGTTTAACGGCCCTACTCTTTTTAAAATTGTACTTTAATTCCCCTCTAAATTTCTCTATTTTCAAATGCTTGGGTTTGCTTTTTACTGGCTAAAGTTTTGATTTTTCTCTATGACAGTGGCTTGAACATGTAAGAAATTTGGGATTAGGTGTCCACTGCAGGATCAGGGTGGGGAAAATTGTTGTTAGGTGGCAACAGCCCAGGATAAATGCATTCTTCCAGTCCCCACTTATTAAAAAAAAACCAAAAAAATATTATTAACTGTGACAGCAAGCTTTCTGGTGGGTCAAAGTAGATAGGGGACTGGCTAGGGATTACAAACCTGACATAAACGATTTGTCACATGCCCTCATGAATTCAGCAGAAACATGACTGTATTCCTATCTTGTTTCATGTCAAACTTGCACGACTGGAAGACTGGATGGATATACAGAGAATCCAGGACTAGCTCTCAGGAAAGCACAAAGACTCTTTCTACATCTCCTTGGCAGTATAAATGGAATAAATCTTACATCTCCATTTACAATGTCATTGCAGAGTTAAGGAAGCAAAACTAAGCCTGCTTTTTTTTTTTTTTATGTCTTCAAGACTGAATTAGAGGCTTTTGGGAGGAGACAGCTGAGAATCTTGCACTGTCTTATGTGGATCAATAGTTGTGTTTATATTGTGTATGCATCTTTGAAGCAAAGGTTCATCCACCTGAGTGGTCAATGTGAAGCCTCTAGCCAGTCTTTGCTGTGCACTAGAAAAAAATAGAGGACTGCCTTTTAGGAACAGAATAACTGTAAATCCTACAAATTAGACTTCTCTTCCCCTAAAGAAGGCAAATTCATTGTGTCTTTCTTCTTTCTTTCTACCTTTCATGTCACATGAATCAAGATTTTGTGATTAATGTGAGGCACCTTTCCTTGAAAAGGGAAGGGAAGGTTTTAACTCTGTAAACTTTATTTGCAATGTACATCCTCTGACTCTTGCCCACCTCTATGAGTGAGCCCTATGTTAAGAGCAAGATTTTAAATGACCACTTGAAGGGCTCAGAAGGGGTAGAAGAGATGCAATCAAAGTATTTTTCTGGATGTGTTCAGAGATGATGAAGGGTATAGTAATGAGAAACTAGCCAGAGTTAATCCATGCTAAAGGTCTTTAATTGAAAGATGTGGTCACCAATTGGTCTTTTTCAGCATCTGAATCATCAAGAATGAAACTCTTGAAAGAGGAGATGCCAGCGAAGAACAGCATCAGGCTTGGCTTTGTGCAGCAGCTATCGAGCATCCGTACTTGGCCGAAGAAAGGTAAGATTTTCAGGCCTTGCTATTGTCACGACAGTACTTAAGGTTGAAAATTTGCAGGACATCAACTCTAATGCATGATCCAAGATTAATTATATGTTGGGGTTCTTGAAAAACAAGAGAAGAAAAAAAAATATACCATGAGCTAATACCTGAGATAGTCTTAAGTGCTTAGTCCATTCATTGGCAACCCTTAATACCTGGCACATTGGCTCAATTTGACTAAAAATGCAAGTGCATCTCAAGTACCAAATCAATTATCAAAGCAACGCAAGCAGCAAGTAGGTGAAGATGCTGCTATGTCAGAATGCAACACTCTGTGTCTGATCTGTAGAGCATTTTTCTCACGACAGCATTTGTAGATAGCTCTAAGTAAGGTTCAGAGTACTTTACTGGTGCTTCAGGATTAATTCAGAGTAAAACTTAGTTCCTTTACATATATATATTTTAAAAGAATGTTTTTTTCCTTACAATACAAGAAATTCTATTGCAAGTAATCAAAATAGGATTATGGCACCCACAGCAAGACAGTCGATTTTTACTACTTTCCATAGAAATAGCTGACATACACAACAGAGTATTTTTATCACTCTGGGCAAGCAATGTTTTTAATAATTACTGCAATAGAAATATTTTATATGTATGAGTGAAAGATTTGTTAGTAATCACTCAACACAACTAGATCTGTAACTCAGAAATGATTGCTCAGAGACATGCTATTTAATCTTCTTTTGTTTTTCCAGTAGAGATGGGCACTATTACACTCTATACGGTTAGGATATATTACTGGGCATTATATGGTTGTGCTAGTGATAGTTAATAAGCCCTGTCAGGTTTTGACATGATTGGGGATTCCTATGAAGTGTAGGTCATTAAACTCCTAGGTAATGTGATCATTTCACCTCTGAAAAACCTACAGGGAATGAAGTAACTTGGCTTAGGATTGTGAAAAACAAGCGTTTGGTTGGATTCCTTGGTAATTTAGCAATGTCTGAACTGAAGGATAGCGGTTCTTAGGCCTACCCTTTTTCTTTACCTTGTCATTACAGATGAGGTCAATCTGCAAAATACTGGATGAAACTTAAACCACCTTAAACATTGCTAAAAGGAGTAGTAGGGGTTTGGATCAGATAATTTATGAACATTGTGACTCAACACTGTTCCAATCCTCATTTGCAGAGATACTGAACCCTTTCTACAACTCTTGAAGTTGTTGATTTATGTCCATCTCTATTTGGAACAGCAGCATTTATGTATTATTCCCCAAAGGAAAAAAAATCCCTGGTTAGTTACAGGTATATTTCATTTGTTTGCACTCACCGTGAACTTCAGAAGCCACGTAGGTCATGAGTCCTTTGCACATAGAGAAGATGTCTGGTCCATAAGACTTGAGGTCACGGACAGGTCTCCTGACGATGTATATGAGCTCCTTCGTAGCTTGTTGTTGAATTTGAATTTGCTAAACAGCAAATAACATCATTCAGCAAGATCAGTGCCTTGATCCACTTAATGCTATGCATATTCTTATTTCTGGAATGACAACTTGGTGCTTGGTGTTTTACTCAAAACTGTATTTAGTACAGTCTTTTAATCCACTGTGCGACTATGGGACCATCAGCAAGCATTGAAGAGAGCTCGTATGACAGATCTTTCTAAGGTAGTCAAGGTAGAGGGAGGCTAAAGAGATCCAGAAACTCAATTGAACAGCTGAACAAGAAAACAGTAGTGCTTCCTCACCATGCCTTCTTGCCCTTTAAAGCCAGGATTTTTATAAGGACTCAGTTCTCAGACTTCAAGAGAAGCCAGTGTGTACAAAAGGTTAGTATGCTGAATGCTGAGATAATTTTTTAAATGTCTGTGCTAATTCTGTGGGCTGAACTCATGCTAATATGGTGCATAGTTCTTCTGAACAAGTTTTGAAAGCTTGAGATCTTATTTAAACGTTTTTCCTCATTAATGGATTATTTGTTCTTCCAGAAAGAGCTGCTGCTCCACAAAGAGCAGAGATGCCTAAAAATTGAATTAAATGCCTAAAAAAATGATTTTTTTTTTAAGCCTGCAAAGAATGTGACATTATGAAGATTACCATACCAAAAATCTAAAATCTCTAAACATAAAACAATATTAAAAAGCAGTCAATCTAAATAATTTTTTGAAGCATTACAAAAATAATCTAAATTGTCTACATCTAAAAACCAGGAAAACCCTCCATTGCAAGCATCTGAAACAAAGCCTTCTAACTTTTCAAAGTTTTCAGATTATGTTAATGTAAAATGTCATTGAAACTGATATAACTTCAGAATCAATGGTGTGATCTAAATGTCTTTTAAAGTAACTATTGTTTTAAAAGTTTTTGAAAATAACCATGTCTCTGACATCAGTTTACTTTGCATTACTGTACAAATTTACAAGTAACTACTCCTTTTTAATCTTACATTGTTCTCTTCAGCCAGTCTGGGAAGATCATCAAGGCTAGGTATCTCCTCTCTGTTCATTAGGGAAACGAAGCAAACTTTCTCTGGCAGCACTTTGGTTGCAATAAAGCCCTGTGAAATAAAGTTATTGACAACTAGGAATTCAGTTTTTCAATAATTAAAATTGGAATAAAGTCTGTATTAACAAATAATACATGAAGATAGTTTTTACCCCAAAACTTGGACTCAAAATATTAAGAATAAAGAAACAAGTCGTGTATTTTGGTCAGCTTTGTAGGAGCTAGTCTCCTTGTACCTTTACTGAAAAAGCATGGTCCTTGCCACTCACCGTATCATAGTTCAAGATGACTTTTGAAGACTTATGGGCGGTTTTTTCCTCGACAGTTGCTATGTGCCATTGCTTGTTGATGGTCAGAATTTGGTAGCCTCCAGTAATGCTGATTTTCTTGCTTAATTGTCTATCCTGAAACATAAAAAGGAAAGTGTAAACACATTGCTTATTTTTAGGGTAATTATTTATCTCTCCAAAGCTCTAGAAAATTATTGCTATAATAGAATAAATGCTGGCCCATGGGGAGCACCTTTAGCGACCTTACTTTAAAAATGACAAAGAATAAAGGCTGTGGCATTCTGGAGTAGCCCTAAGAATTGTTTTAATAAATTCAATTAATATTTTCTGTATCTTATAGCTGTTATCTGGTGGGTTTAATGTGTGAAAGAAATTTTAGATTCTTTCCCTCCACAAACATGGGGAAAGAAGTGAGGAAAACTCAAGCAGGGAGTATAGAAACAGCAGCAGTGTATGTATAACTTGGTCACCATACCTCAGCAAGGGCTGGAGTCAGAAAGAGTCCAAGAAGGACGGTAGTCACAATCTGAAATGAAAAATAAAGACAAAAGTGTAACTGCAGGTCTGGTTGACAAATCTGGTCATGATAGTCCTGGCGCTTTTTTCCTAATCTGGTGTTTAAGCGTACTCCTTGGATCCTTTTTTGCTTTCATACTGGAATTACAGTAGTCACGTAAAGTGACTATTTGATTTACCCTAGAATATTGCAAACTAAACACATAGGAGGTTGCTTTTTTAAGAGTTGAATCTGAAGGTGTTTCCGAGACTTGTATAGTCATATACAGGTAATTTAAAAGAATGAGAAGGAATTTAAATTTCTTCTGCTTGGACATTACAAGAAAGTGGTTGATCCGTTAGTGCATTGTTAGTTTCGCAAAAGCATTGACAAAAATGGACATGGATTAGACTTCTTGTAGGCTGAATAATGTATAATTAAATCTTAAAAAAAATCTTTACCTCTTCATCTGATTAGGTTAATAGAGTCTGAATTGCTTACTCTGGAGGAGAAAAATCTCCCCATAGAATACCCTTTTGCTATAGACAGGCATAGGCTCTTCTGAGAGATAAAGGCAATGGCTTTGAATCAAAGTTTTAGTTTATAAGGAGAAAAAAAAGCATGCATACTCACGGCGAATTTCATCTTGACTGCAGAGCTGATGCTAGTGCAGGCAGAACGGACAATGTGAATGCCCACCTTATATATGCTTTCAGAATTAGGTGTGGAACAGGTGTTGAAATAAAATTATTTTGTCATTTTTATCCCTGTCTGCATGTCACTGATAATTATTTCCTGCTCTAACTACTTCATAAACATGAGGATTGTACTTCTGCAAATTTTGACCTGCTAGAGTCTGATAATTATCAGATAAGAATCCATTTGCAGTGAGAAATTAAATATGTTTTATAGTAACTTTTTGGCATGTACTAATTGTTTTTGAAAATTCACATTAAACTTAAGACCAGAGATAGCCTAGGGTTTTTTTTTTTTTAAAAAAAAAAAGCCTTTCAGTACACAAAATAAGACCCTTTGTACCTTGCAAAATGTACTGTATATTACCACGTAACCATAGGGCCCACCAAAACATGTGGCCCAAATACAACATCACCACTGAACTGTTTTACAATAAATTGGAAGTTCAAGCTGAAATATAGCATATATGTGCAAGTCTGTGGATGTCTCTGTTATTTTAGGAGACAACATTTTTTTTCACCTTGCCTCAGCTTATTTTCTGTGGTGATATAAATAATTATTGAAAGAAGTGATCAATTCAGTTAGGAAGGGGTTTGAATACATGGGTTTTGTGTCAAGTTGCTCGGTTTTGTTTTGTGTACAACCTGAGTCTGTGGCAGGGAATCACTGTAAAGATTCCAACATTATTTTTCTACTGAAATCCAGCATATTATTTAAAAAATGGGGGGGATTTAATACTTAAAAATAACTTCTAACCAGTGCTGAAAGTACAATATTAAATTAAATTATGGTCTCAGTTTCACTGAGTTGAGTCTGTAAGTCCAAAGGGACATTTTTGGCACATACTGTTATGCGAAGGGGTGGTTATTCTCGGTTCTTTACAAGCAGCAGTACTCGTGTGGATTTCTGTGGAAAAATGTAGGTTTGTGCGTGGGCTCTGAGGGAAGACGGAACTCAGAGAAAGGTGGAGAAAACTCCCTACGCAGGAATTGACCCTTTGCTACGAAACAAGAGAGCTGGCTTTTGCTGAGGTGAGGGAGAACGTAGTCGGAGGGCAGGAGAAGAGCAGACCTGGGGCAGCGCCGGGCGGGAGGGCTCTGAGGCGCCACAGGGCGCGGCGGGGGAAGAACGACGGTGGGGAAAATGGCGGGAAAGCCCAGCTGAGGCGAGGCTGGGGCTGCCGTGCCTCAGTGACCTTGCGGCACCTGCCCTGGCACATTTATGCTATTCCAGCTTTATTGATTTACAGTTGTTGAAGTATTTTTTTGTGAAAGACTGGTGTTAGACCTACTGCCAGTGTCTCAAATTTGAATATCTATTTTTATATTTTTTAAAAAAAACGTTCCCTCACAAATCAGGTTCAGCATCCTGAATTTGTCTTAAAATACAGAAAGGTACTTAAATACATTTATTAGATTATATTATGGCTTTGTAATTATACTCAAGTCACTCTTGAACTTTTTTCTGTCAATACAGTTTTTCAGGTGTTTGTTATCTTCATATTCCACCTGCTGTCCAATAAGAGAAAAACAGAGCAGTAGGATTTAGGATAAAATGGTGTCACTTTAATGCTGATGTGGCATGTTGGTGGGTGGCCCTCAGAATTTAAACTACAATTTTAATTAAATTAGGGAAGGTGAAAATCTGGTATGTTCCAATTTACCAAAGTGATTGTTATAGATCATGAAAATTGTGCTGAGTGATAAAGTTCAGGCCCCATTCTTGTTGAGAAGGATCTTTTCTTGCAACGTGAGTGACTCCAATCTTCTGTGCTGTTATCTATATATCTCTGTACTTGCATGGACATTTAGAGAGTTACAGCAATGATTTCTTTTCAGGTTCACTGAAGTCTTTTCTGTCATGTCTCTATTTAGCAATCTCTTTTTGAGTTTTGATCTCTTCCTGATCCATCCAAACCTGAATCAGTTTAAATTTGAATAACAAACACTGTGAAATGTAATGGCATCCCAATTAGAGAAAGAAACTTGCCAGAATGTAATATTGCAATTAAATTCCTTGGGTCTGAAAAAGACAAATACTTTGCTTCATTGATTCAGTGGTAGTTCCCTGTTTTCTGTAAAGTTTGAATCATCCCTGTAGGAAAAGTGGTTAATTTAAGCTTTTCATTGAATAAAAAAAAAAAAAAAAGCTTGGAGATGTATTAAGCATCGCAATGTGTAATCTTGTAGTAAAAATAGGAATCTATGTGCACGAAGCCAGAAGTTGGACCTTGTTACGCACATTTTGTGCCCTCTTGTCGAAATTTTGGCCTTAAGATGGTATTGGAGCAGATGCTAGAAACATCCGTGCCTTTCTATTCCCTGCCAAGGAGACTATGGACTCTGGTTTGAGCTGGGCAGAGGGTATCCCCGTTTCCCTGCAAAGCTGCTGACTGACCTCTGCTGTGCTGTGGCAGCTGGAGCTGCGTGATGGTGCGCTGTGCTGTAGACCCCGCTCAGGTCAAATCCCTGCTGCCTCAGGGGACTTTAAATCATCACCTGTTACAGAGTCTGGCCCAAAGTTTCCAAGGGCTCGAAGGCCCCCAGAAAGACAATTCCCAGTGACACGCAATCGGATAAGTGAAGAGGGCTGTGCCTGTTTTATCATGAGGGAAAATGCAGTGTGAAGTTGGAAAAAGAGAGGAGATTTTGTCCAGAAGCCCCAGACAAGTCAAGCAGGAACTTTTGTTTAAATACTGCAGCCATATGGTTGCTTTTCTTTGGAGATGTTAAAATATATTGGGGTACAGTTTTGCTTTGTTTTTAATGTTGGTTAACTATTGAAGACCACAAAAACATTTTCCTGAACTGAACAGGCTGCTGCATCCTTTATTTAGAGTAACCCTTGACTGTTCCTGCATGGGTGAAATGTCTCTTAGAGTAACTCCTTTCAAACTCCAATAAAATGGCCTCTGAGAAAGAAGGGAAGGTGAAAATCTGGTATTTTCCAGACAAGACTGAGTTATTGAAGTGATTGTTTTAGATTAAGAAATTAGTCCCAGCCATTTTGCCTTAGTTTTTTTTTTGCCTAACTATAATTTGACTATTTCAAATTTCCAACTGTATTTTTAACTGGTTAGGGTATGGTTTTTTTGCTTCCTGTTTTAAGAAGGTTTAATAAATGTTTAAGTAACATCTGTATTCAACTCCAAATTGCATTTAATGCACCTATTAATTCTATTATTCACAGCTCGATTTGTCAGTTGGTTAGAGCAATAGCACATCTGTCTATTTTTAATTGGCCAATATTGCATTGCAATATTTGTTTTTAAAATAAAACATAAATATGTTAAAATAAAACTTAGGATGTTAATAAGAAGTTAAAAATAACTCAGATATGCTTATTTCTATAAATCTGGACTTCAGACCATATTATCTTAAATATGGCCATGCAATATGTATAGTACCATTTGCTTTTAGTAGTGATGAATAATTGCTTAAGGCAGCATGTGAAATCTCACCGGGAAATTGTACAGGATGAGGTTTAAATGTCCAAATTTGGATTTTGCAAGAACACTAGCTTAGTAACTTGTCTGTGGAATTGCTTGCATTTCTTAAAAAAGTATTTGTAAAAATACAGCACACACCAATGTAGGTTGATGATAAATTTTACTGAGACAAAATAGCTTCCACGTAGAACAGGAGACACAAATGATTGAAAATGTGATCAAGAGATGTACAAGGAGAAAAATCTTGTTCATAGGCACACAGTTCTATGAAATTTTTTCCTCAAAACTTTGTCAGAAATAATTAATCACAGTAATGGACAGGCAGTTCATTAATCTTAACTTCTGAGCATGAAAAATCTTGCTCTGAGAAGTTTGATCCTGAAAGAAAAGAAAACACTGATTAGATTTGGACTGAGAAAATGAGAACAATGTAGCTGAAACTTTTCCAACTTACTGTTGGAGATGTACCAGGAAATGTGACCTAAAAATTGAGTTGCATCTTTCTAATCTTATACTACAAGCAATGGTTAGTGCAATCTTTTTAGACAAATCTAGGTTGCAAATGGTGTTTTGAATCTCAAAATTGTGCTGTGGCAGGACCCATGGTAGCTAGGTATTGTATATGCATGCAGTTGCCTACAGAAATCAGACTTGTGTCAACAGCTAGAGCCCAAAACCTTCCTGAAAAAGCCTGGTCTCCAGGTTGTATGCAGAAGAGTGACAGACCTGCTGCTTTTCCTTATGTATGCATTCACTGACTTATAAAAAGTCATATAAAACCACCAGATTTCAATAATTAACTTGCTTATCTTCACTTAAGTATTTTTTATTCTTATTTATAATCTTGTTAGTCTTTATTTTGGAATACAAACCACTGTATGCTCAGTAGTATACTCACCAGCAGCTGGGTAAGCAAGGTAACAGGGAATTCCTCTGCACAGAGCTTGAATGTGTTTTCTGTATGGGGGCAAGCTTTGGAGTCTGTTTCTTGAGATAATGAAGCAATTCTCAGTAGGTGGAAATTGATAAGGACTCAGTCCCTGAGCATCAAAGAATCAAACCCAGAAAACAGCATTTAGAAAAACTAAAAATGGAGTTCTGAAGATGTATGCACATCTTTGATAATGGAGAAGGGGTTATTCAACTGCAGTGCAATTTTTGAAAGACTGAACTTTTAGAGTGACTCAGCCTTACTGAGAAACTTCATCTTCAGTTCTTTGGGCCTTTTCTCCTCTGTGGGTAGGGAACGAGTACTTTTCACAGGCAATTGATTATCTTTCTCACCACTTTGATTCACCATCCTACCATTTGTCCTTGAGGTGGTGCAGCAAACTGTTGATCAAGTAAAAATCTTTTGTCCATTTTAGAAATGATGCAGGTGTTTTTTGAAAATACCTTGGTTGCAGCATAGCCCTATTAAAAAAAAAATAAATAAAAAAGCTTTTTATTGCAAACAAAAAAAGCTTTTTTGTTGCAGGGAAAAATACATGGGTTGCCAGAGAGAAGCACTAGTTAAAAAAAAATGTCTTTATACAGTACAAATATTCATAGGGAAGGAAAATATTGATTTTTTGATTATATTGTCTAGGTAAATGTGTCATCAAGGCTGACAAGGGACTTTGGTAAAAGGTAAAGTAAATTGTCTTCTCCAGTAATGCCATGTGTATGATATGTTATTGCTTAAGTCAGGTGAAGGAATTCACTGCTGAAAACATCAGTGAAGCATACAGTAAAGCAGAAACAATTAAATGGTTACATGAGAATGTTTTAAAGCATCTCCTCTAAAATCTTGTTAAGTTTTGTTGATGCTTAGGTGTTTTTCAAAAACCTTTTGGTTATTTTTCATTTTTGAGCCATGGTGGCAGCCACTCACAGTCTTGATGTCCCAGACAGTTTTCCAGTCCTGAGAGTCCTCCTTTGAGTCTGTGCGGACCCCAAGGTCAGTGGTGTGAGATTTCAACATGGTACACCTTAAAGTTTTTCTTGTCATTCTGATTTTTGAAAAAAATTAAAGGAGGTAAGGATTTAAGTTTGTGGATTGCCAGTAGTCTTTCACTCAATAAAGCGATAACTCTAGTAACCACGTTTTGGGAAATTACTGCTCGTAGAGATCAGACAAAAGGGGAGGTAATTTCTGGCCTTAGAGTGGAGGCTGGGAAGCCATTAGTGCTGTTGTGTCAAACCTTACATTCAGGTTTTATCTAGCCCTGGCTTTCATCTGTGTGATGCATCCACCTTATGAAGACAGACAAGCTTTAACAGTACTGCTCTGTTCCCACCCTCCCTCCCCACCCCATACAGAATGCCTATTAGACAACACTGGAAAATACACTGTTTCATTTAAATACTGGAGAATTTCCTCTAAACACTATACTGGATGTTCACAGTCAAACTTGCAAGAAATATTTCTAGGAAAATTAAAATAATTCCTTATTGCTCTTTCCCCAGCAGGAACTTTCAGGCAGGGGGCTATTTACAGTATTTCACTGTATTTTCTGGTCTGATCCTGTTCTCTCCACACAGTTATTTTCACAGTGTTCATGCTAATCTCAAGACAGACTTTGTTGATTTCTATCTAGCAACTGTCTTTTTCCCTTGATATATCAAGCACTGAACTATTTTCTTTGTCACTTAGCAGGAACTGCATTTTTTTTATACCAGACTTTAAAATAGAGTTTTATTTTCAGAAACATGTATTTTTCAAAGGCCATAGCTAAAGACCACTAGTTCTTATGACAAAAGTATGTAACTGCATGTGGCTGTATACTTAGTGTGTTAGCAAGAGGTGGAGCCAGGAAAACTCCAAGAAGAGAAGCGATCACAATCTGAAATGAACATTTGAAAGTCACACCACTTTAACATTGTGACTGCTTATCTTGCATCCAGTTATTTGCTGTCTTAAAGTAATTTTGACTTTCTGTTTAATTTTGTGTACAGCACTTTTCGGAAGCGGGGTCTAGCTGAGGATTATTTAAGTATGCAGAGTATTTTTTTTAATAATCTTACATCAGATCATAAATTCATATAAATTACTTTTAACCTCAGCAGTATACTTTGCACAGGTAAGAAGATAATATAAACACAGTGGGGTTTAGAATATGTCCAGCCCCAATTCAACAAACTCCATGGAAAAAGGTGGTCTGAAATATTTTGTTTAAAAGAGTGAACTCTTCACTCTGAGTTTTTGATTTCAGACATGGAGCAGATCTATGCAAAATCCATGTGCGTGTGCACCTATTATGAAGAATTAGAATATGGGTGCACAGTACAGCTCTGTACTCAGACCACAGCAGAAATGGGACATGAGCATCCTCATAATGATCTCATTCCTCTGAGTACAGGGCTAATAGTATAAGGATAGGCACAATCATTTTTGTAGAGAAAAATGCAATGTTGAATGCTTTGTTACCCCTTTATACAATTATACAGTTGCACTGACTCACATTCTAGTTGGTGCTCAGATTTGCCAAAACTACTGCTGATGTATTTTTGAGAGATTTAATATTGTTAGGATGATAAATTATTTTGGAATAATAATTATTGTGAACAGTTATTCTCTTGGAGACAATCCCTCTAATATTGAATCAGTCACAAATTTCATCTTTCTTCAAAGGAGGATTTTTATGAGAAAGGTCCAAGTGTGATTTGGATTTAGCACTAACATTTTGGAATTATTCCTGCAGCAATTTCAGGCTGCTGCAAATACCCCTGCTTCAGAGTCATGAACTTGGAGTGTCTCATGGTTCTTCTCCTGCGCTCTCATCAGGCAGCTGCACCACAACATTATATAACTTGCTGAGGCTGTTGACTTGCATCTGAGTTGTGAATGAGAGAATATTGCCCTTGCAACATTTTACATGTGCATGTTGCCCTTGTAACAGAGCACTTCTCTCTTTCACATTTGAGTAGGCATATGGAATGAAGTCACTGCCAAAGTGAAATTGTACCCACACAGTCCCGACCCATTTGGCATTTTCACTCTGTAATTTCTGCATAAATCAGTAATAGTTCACTAGGTGCCAAGAAAGACTCAAAATAATTTTAAAACTGTCCAGCCTTAACAGTTTTATGAGAAAGTGATACATATACTTACAGTAAACTTCATTGTGAAGTGAGGTGAGGCAAGTTCTGTTAGTAATTGATGTATACTCTTACTTTGTATACAGTAATATTCCAAAGTTAAAACTTAAAATGGCTTTACCTTATTGGCATATGCCCTGTGTTAACAGAATTGTGACGAGTTTCCTGGGGCCGATAAGAGGAGGCTTTGATACCAGCCTGTTTGAATTAATTACCTACAGAAAGATGAAAGAAAACTTGTTATGGTAAGTTCAGTACATATTATAGTAACTTTGAAATGAAAAAAAAAAAAAAAATCAGAGCCAGAGGATGAATGCATAATCAAATTTGTAGTAACATTTTGTGCCTATGTGGCAGAGGACTCAGCCTAATAGTTTATCCATAGCTGGTACCATATTTTAAATCAACAGAGGTAGTAATCTTGCTATGTTAAAAATGTCGTCAGTCCCCAGAAATCATGAGGTTGGTTCTAAACCATAGAAATTATCGAGTTCTTTTGTTAACCTTGCTTTCTGAACTTGTTCAGTCAAGATCTCCAGTCTTCAGGCATAGACTATGTATCTTCACACAGACAAGTAGGGAGAATAGTACCTGATTATGGACTAAGGGCTAATTCTAGAAAGGAACCATAAACTGGAGATAACAAAAAATGAGTAAGGGAGGAGTAGTAACAATGGGCATTTTATATTAACTATTATTTAGAAAGTAGATTTTAATATTTCTCTGAATTTGATAATTATATACAGACCCACAGCATAAGATCTTATTTGCCTTGTTTGTTGCAAGACTGCAAAATGTTTAGGTTTTTAATTGGCCAGTACAAATGTCTGAGTCTCTTTGCCCAGGAATATTGCCCATTGCTGTTTAATAAACTTATATATATATATATAGCCTCAAATAATCTGGATTTGTTTCTTAGCTGTGCCTGTTAAAGAAGGAGCACTTTCAGAGGTGCTCACTTACCTACTCCAAAAGTGCTTCATATTTAATAGCAGCTCTATTGGTCCCTCTATATGCTAATTGTGTACTTTACTGTAGTTCAGTACAGGGTTGCGCTTTTAAGTTTCCTTTTTGTTGCCAGAATGGTATGATGGGGTCTCTGTTGTTATTAACTAACGTCTCTGAACAAAGTTCTCCACTGTCATCAATTGCTGAGGATCCTTGTTGCAGCTGCTGTTGGAAAAGCCAGGGAATCTTACTTCAGTTCAGAGAAGGTAAGGCCCAGTTCTAATTTACACCAGCGAGGGCCACATTCATGTCATTCTGCTACTGATGCCTTGCTCGGACTATATGAGTGCAGAGGAGGTATATCAGTCTGCCAGCACTGTGAGTGGAAGAGCTGTTTTTCATCTAATTTGCACAAGGTGTAAAATATAGTGAATGAAAGTAATAAATTACTAAGGAAAAAGATTTACAGTTCTTCTAATCAGAATGATCTGTGGATGCCAAATGGAAACTGTTATGTCCTTAGCCTCCAAGATACACATAAAAGTCTTATTTTGTATGTCACGAAATCCTCTCTGGTCTCTGGAAATTTAATTAATTGACTAGTTCTCAAGAAAGGCATTGAGAAACTGAACAGTACAATGCTAATCCCTGCAGTGTCATTCGCAATGAGTTGGAAAGCAGTCTTGTCCATTTCTTCCAACAACTGTAGCCAATTTGGCCATTACAGTAATGTCTCACACTTGGAAGCCTGGATGTCCAAATCTTCCATCATCTTCTGATTGCTTGAGTAGTTTGTATGGCAAACACACACAGCTAGAGCATTTGACATTAAGAAAAGTCTAACTAATGGCAATAGTAGAAGCCAGGAAAAAAGGGCAGGGAGGAGTGCTATTACTGTATAAGACCCTGTTCTTTTTCCAGTACAAGTTTGTCTCATTTTTAAAGCCCTGCTCAAGGCATTCTGTTTATGCACTAAATTCTTGTACCACTGTGCAGCAAACTCCCAAGACTGAGCTGTTCCAGTTTTAACCCTTTTCTCAAATTAGTGTTTCATTTTATGCATGCACTTACATTTTTCATGTGTTTTTCTATGTCTTACTGTCTAGCAAGAACAAAACTGCTAAAATTATTTCTGGATTCATCCTTGAAGCTTGATTTATTTTTTAACTACTGGAATGTAATTAGTTCTACTTGATCTGTCCTTGTGCCACACAGATCTTTCTAAACTGTGTCACCCCATCTTTATTTAGTGTGTGGCACGCCCAGCAGAATGCAAATGGAAGCATTGAAAATTTTGTTGATTTTTTGAGGTGTTGCTTCATTCTTTACTTTTCTCCCACTACCTGCTCACTCCCTGATAAAGCAAATATTTATGAAAAGTACCTGAAAAAAAACCCATGAGTCACCAGGAAAGTTTATTATGATAGTATAATCTCACTTTAACTCAATTGAATTAATCTCCTTTATGCATTGAAATTCCTGTTTGGTGATCAGACTTGAACTGAAATTGTACAATTATTCTTTTCATGTAATGTTCAAGGTTCTTTTGTTTAAATTATTTTTATTGTATGACAGCGCCAAATAAGGGGTCAAAGTCTTCTGGTAGTTTTACATAGATTAAGAGTAATTCTGTAGCTTAATCATATTTCATCAGGGTAAATGAGAACATACTTGAAAATATTCGGATTTATGAAAATAACAGAGAAATTAAGTTTCCTGCAACAATAAATGTTGCTGTGTTGTAACAACCTGTTACTTGTTCTGAACATTACTCAAATTCCATTTTCTGCTGGCTTCCCTGATATGACTAACCTGACTGCAAGTGTAACAGTTGAGGAGAAAGTGATTTTATTTGGGGAAAACTTGAGTCTTCACTTTGATCAAAAGTATCCAAAGCAAGAAGACCACTTTAAGAATGTGGGCATCATTGTGGAATTTCATGTTCACCACGGGGTTGTGAGTCATGGCTTCCTAAGCTAAACCTCACGCTGCCTGAGGACTGGCAAAAGTGAAATTAGAGTGAGTTTTCACCCTTCTTATGCAGCTCTTTACTTCACCTCCTTAATATAGAAAGGTGCTTAGAGGACTCTGTCATGGATAGCCTTGGCTCTGAGTGCATGAGTGCTAATTTCAGGTGTATTACTGGGAGATGTGTGATTAACTCTGGGGAAAAAGTCTCCAAAAAGCCAGGCTTTCCTATTGGAAGTATATCTAGCTATGCCCTAGACAACTTGGAGTATGTCCTCTTGCAATAATTTCAATTAGTCACACGCTTTTTAGAAATTAATCTTTAACTTTTGGCCTTGTCTAATCAGATCAGCAAAATTCAGTCGGTGCAATGTAAGGTGAAATTCATGAGATCGTGGCTATTGTTCTAATCGTCCTTCACAAAATAACTGTTGATTTCCCACGTTGCTCTCTTCTTACCTGTGACTAAGCATATCGATGCTTAAGAAAGCAGAACCTCATGCTTCTTGGGTGTTTTTCCAAATAAATGAATATATGAAGACATAATGACTAAGAGAAAGTTAACTTAAACTTATCCTGGTTTCAGCTGAGATAGAGTTATTTTTGTTCACAGTGGCTAGTATGGGGCTCAGTGTTGGATTTGTGCTGAAAACAGCGCTGGTAACGCAGAGATGCTGGAGTTGCTGCTGAGCAGCGCTTACACGGAGCCAAGGCCTCTCCGGCCTCTCTCCCCGCCCCGGCGAGTGGCTGGGGGTGCACAAGGAGTTGGGAGGGGATGCAGCTGGGACAGCCCATCCCAACGGGCCGTATCTGCATATATGGGATATTCCATACCACGTGATGTCATGCTCGGCACACAGAGCTGGGGGAAGGAGGAGGAAGGGGGGGCCGTTCGGAGTGATGGCGTTTGTCTGCCCAAGTGACCATTACACGTGAGGGAGCCCGGCTGTCCTGGGGATGGCTGAGCACCTGCCTGCCCACGGGGAGTGGGGAACGAATCCCTTGTTTTGCTTTGCTTGTGTGCGGCTTTTGCTTTACCTATTAAACTGCCTTTATCCAAACCCATGAGCTTTCTGATTTTTAATCTTCTAATTCTCTCCACTGGTGGGGAGTGAGGGAGCAGCTGGGTGGGGCTGAGCTGCAGACCGGGGTTAAACCATGACAGAGCTTTAGTTTAAAAGCATTTAAAACTTACTAAAGCTTGTTGTGCCTGAACCCTGTTAGATTCCTTCTTTGAAAGGCTTATTTGACTGCTTAAATCTACTTTGAGTATTTCTGACTTATTTGTAATCTTAGAAACAAAGACTCTTTTGAGACAAGGGACAGAACCAGCTTTCAAGAGGAGGGGAACATCGGTCTAATCTAATTAGCCTAATCTAACTGTGCTTGTCACAATTTCATATCTGTTTATATGTATTCTGATACATTGCTTGGCAGCACAGCTTTGTTACACTTCAGATAACATTTTCCACATGGAGTTAGGTGGAATAAAGCAAATGCATGTAATTTCCTTTTTTTCATTGAGGCCTGTTTGCTGAGAGAGATTTCCATACAATCTCTTTCACCTTTTCCCTGACGACTGAGATTACAGAAATGTGTTGGCTATTAGATTGAGTTCTTGTTTTATTAGAAGGGGATAGGCCTCAATTATGATATTCTAGTAGAAAGTAGAATGTGATTTGTCAAGGTTCCAGCACCAGCTGATGTGGAGTCACAGATGAGGAGGAGTCCAGGTGAGGTTGTAGTCATAGAATACTTGTCATGGCAGTATTAGGTGGCCATTGACATTTTCATAAAATACAGAAAACAGTAGTAGCTTTAAAGGAGGAATCCCCATCCTGTTCCTTTTATTTTGTGTCCTTGTGTGAACCACACATCCTCTGGAGTTTCACTCCTTTGTATGCCAAGGAGGCTAGTAGTTATGGAGATTATCTTGTAAAGCACAGTTATTATTCCAAATTGTGTCACTAATTTCATGCATGTGTTGTATACATCATGGTAACTGATCAAAAATGAGCAGCACTTCTTATTAAGAGTTCATGCATATATTAGATGGAAGAAATTGCTGAACAATTGTTCTGTTCAGCTTGCTGAACCATGGACACCATGGCATAGTTATTTCTTTCCAGGATTTGTCTGCAGACTATCAGGCTGCTAGGGATTCTATCTCAGAAATCAAAATGTAGTTTGTATGAATGAATAGCAGAGTTATTCCTGATGGCATTTAATTCTGGATAATATCCTGTTAAATATTTTAAAAATTGAACCAGCAAGAGTGTGAACTCCTGTAAAGTTTAAACCAGTAAATAAAAGCCATCGATTTTTACAAAAGCTGACTGAGTCCTTCTAATATCGGGTGAGGTTATCTGTGCCAGCCCAAAATTCAAATAGGAGGCTTACCACAGTGTGACAGGTAGATATGGACTTGAGTCATGAAGAAAAGTTCTGTCAAGTTCTTCCCACACCTCTAGCTAGATATAAAAGTTGAAGGTCTCTGGGATTTTCTTGCATTCTTACTTTCTACAGCCTCCTGTTCTTATCTGAAAGAAAAATGAACAGATTTGTAAGTATATCCATTTTTGTTCAACTTTTTATCATGTAAGTTCCTTATTTTTAAAAACAAAAGATTAAAGAAGATGATGCTCAAGTGGTACAGTGCTGGAAATAATACGATCTATGTATTGTTTCTTCGGTTGCTTTTCTTGGGTGTACAGTAATCGTCTTGGAGTCAGTGGAAGCATCATTTGAGTAAAGAGTGCAGAACTTGATAAAACATCAGAAGTGAGATTTAGCTATGATTTAATAATTACAGTTATAGATGCAAATCAAGAAGTAACATGCCATCAGGGAGAGACTTTAAAAAAATACAAAAGATGTAATGCTTAAGTTATCATTCTGCTTTTTCAGTTACAGGGAAAAGAGAGCCTAATCGCAAGAATTTTACAATGAAGAATTGTGGTGTTTTGGTTTTTTTTTTCAACTAATATATGTTAAGTGGGTAGTTTTTCAAACTGATGCTACAGCTGCTTCCCTCAATTCATTAATTGGCTTTTTTAATGGCACTGCCTGATGTTTCTGTCGAGTGAGAATGATTATTCCTTTTGCAGGCTGCTGTTCTTGTTTTGCTGGGAGTCTTTTGGACTCAGACTTCTGCACTGGATGTAAGTGGACTGATAAGCTGTCTATGCACTCATTTAAAATGTACTGGATCACTGGGTGGGGGGCGATATTAATAGGAAGAAAAGCACAGAAGAAACTAGCAAGATGCTTATTGACAAGTGTAGAAGACCAGCATTGCCAAAGGTGACAATCATGTAAGCCAAAGAGGCAGTTCTGTGCAGGTGCAGAGTAACAAGAAATTTGGGGGGCATAAGTCTCCTTAGCTCAAGCCAAAATGCGGAGATTGTTGCAGTCTCCTGTCAGTCCCTGCTGCCACACATAATGATTGGGATGCCCTGTGTTGTTTTTCTTTAGTCTGTAATGAGGGCCTGTCCCCTCTTTTATCACCCTGACACACTCTTGCATAATTAACATCCACCTCAAGGGCCTCCTGAGACTGCTAGAGGGTTGTTAAGGGATTTAGTATTTACATAGCAATCATACTTGTTTATTTGAGAGAAAGCATTTGCTTATATTGTACCTTTTAAAAGTGCAAGCTGGATGACAAACAATGATTTTGTGTTTTTTACCAAAGACCTTTCTCCTGAAAGAACCTGGCAGTAACTATGTCATTGGAACTATGACTATCCACAATGAGAAGCACGTTGTTGACGTCCATGTCCGTTCTGGCGTGTACTCCTCTGATACCATTTTTGACTACTCGCATGTAAGTAAATCTAAGAATCTCCCTAGACTTAATCTCTGAGGAAGCTTTTAAACTCCGAAATTATTGTAGTGTGTTCTCACCATAAATTGTCCTGAAACACTGTTTCTTTGAAGACTTCCATCATCTTTCTTCCTCTTAGGCCATCTCTTTTTTTCACCAGCATAAAAGACTTGTAATGAAACCTATGGTGGCAGTTCATGAAAGTGAGAAGAACGTCACTGACTTCAATGAGGTCAGAGTTGAGAAAGGGCTGCCATCCCTCATGTGCATCCAGTGCAGCAGAAATCTGTCAGAAAAGATACTTTCAGTCTTACAGACATCCATTAGAGTGGGTTGGATGCTTCCATTCCCCAAAGCTGACGATGTAACTGCAGAGTCATTCTGCTATAGCAGCCTGTGTAGCCACTTCATGTTCCTTCTAGATGGTCCTAAAGAGTAGAGAGAATCAACTAATATTAGTGGTAGCCATTTTTAATTAACTATATGTCTTTTAATCACAGGGGTATATTGCAACAAGGTTATTTTCACAACGTGCCTGCTTTATCCTGAAAATAAATAAGGACTCCATCCCAGAGTTGCAAGAAATTGGACGCCTGGCTTTTGAGAAAAAGGTGACTTTGTAGCAAAACCCATACTGTATGTATGTCTGTATGAAGGGCTACAGTAGGAGAGTTGTGTGGTGTGATGGGAGGCCTCCATTCTGCCTTTAAGAACAGCTGTTCTTAGGAGTGTCTCCTACTGTCTTGGCAGTGATGAAGCAGATCTGACAAGACAGAACTTCAAGGGAATGTCATATCGAACATACTTTTAAGATAATGAGCAATCATGGCCCTGCCTGTGGTTTTGTAGCGGATTGTCATTGTGACTAGAACCATAAGATACCCTTTCTTTGGAAGCAGTGTAATTTGACTATTTTGAGGTGATTGCAATATGAGTTCAGACAGGCTTTTCCTTATTTTCATTATCATGCTGATATTTTGAGCTTGACATAATTTGAAATAATTTTGTTTACAGAAGAAAATTTAGAAACCAATTTACTTTGACCAGACTTTGACTTTCTTGTTCAGGCAAAGGTTTCATGAAGGTGACTGGAAGCATTGCCTGGAGATGAACTTGAGTTCTGGCCCATTTTATGACAGCCTAACAGTAGTGCATTTACAGCAAAACTTACTGCCAAATAGCATAATTTATTATGATGGTAATACAGCTCAATTTTGTTATGTTGGCAGAATTAATACGTAGTGAACTTTGTTTCTGAATAGATTGAAAATATTTATTTTTCTTTAAAAGCATGTAGCTTCTTTAGCTAATCCTTTGTGTGAGGCAAAGGAAGGTGATTTTTAGATTTTGGGATTTTCTTAGTGCTTTAGAATGAAATCAAAACAACATTCCTGACAATGTCTAACACTTTCTTTTTAGACTATGAAGGCAATATACTCTCCAAATAACGTGTGGGCACAGTTTCAATCTGGCCATTCCTTGTTTGGGCGTATCAAAGAGTGGATTATCTACGGTAAACCCATTGAACAACTCTGCAGAGGTCTGCCTCTCTACAAGCTGGTAGAGACTCAACGTAAGTTGCAAAATCAGAACGCTGTGCTTCTGTTATAGTGCATAAGCACCTTTCTCTCCTTTAAACCTAAGTCCACTGGTACCTTTGAGGCAGAAACACATTGCCCTATTTTAGAGAGGAGGAGCTAGCAGGACTGAAAGGGCAAGGCTCTGGTACGCTTTGGAAAAATCGGATTAAGCACTGTTTTTCATCGTTAAGCATCTACATATCGGGAACAGCTGTTCCAAAGGGGTTTGCCTGGTGTCATGGGAATCCACTGTGTAGCAGTGGTACCCAACTTGTGCCTCAATGATACAATGGTCCTACAAGGTATCTACTGTATGCCAGTATGCTAACCACTGTATGTGGATTATGGGAAAGGAAGAGCACAAAGGTGACTTACAGCTGTTCAGACATTTCCTCCATTTGAGGCACACCATAAGTTTTACACAGTATCCATTGAGACCAACAGTGACCTTGAATAGGACCATAATTGGAGATTGATTATGTATTCAGCAGAATTTTCCTTACTGGATACAGCGATCTTGTCACTGATATCTTCATTTTCTTGTTTCTTTTAGCACCACTGAATGTTCATGGCTGTGCCAGTGCAGGAATTCCAAGCATTTTGGGCATTAAAATCTGTGAAAAAGTCAATTAGTCTGGATCTTGACAATTCTGCATCGAATAAGCTTGTTTCTTTGCATGCTTTTGTGATGGTAGCCATGTTCTCCAATTGGAACAAAGCTTGGCATTAGACTCAACTTGCCTATCATAAGCTTTGAGTGCAACATAACTATCATATACAAATAAAGATAACACAGTAATTAAAAGGCTTTGTCTTTTTTCTTCATCCAAAAGCAGAAGGGAAATAAAGCGGGCCTTGCTAGTGTTCCTGCAGAAGAGATATGTTTCCCTTTGGTGCATTCCTATGCTCAGGCTGCAACATGACCTAGGCATTGGTATATGTTTCTTGCCAATGAAGAAACAGAAACAGAATAGTTTTATCCAGTGGAGAACTTCCTTTTGGCATCAGCACCCAGGCCTTTCAGGTGCTGACTCACCTTATGTACGATTGCTGGAGGGAGGGAGCGAACAGATGAATGAACAGATAAAAGAAGGGAGCAGATCTGTGTCACTGACATTTGCAAAAAAACTTAAATCTGCAGGGCTGGTGAAAATTTATAGCAATTTGAATAGGTGCAATGGACCAGAGCTTTTTGTTCTGAATATTTTTCAAAGCCAGATAGAGGAGACTGTCCCAGTTCTAAAAAGCTCATAACCCAGAATAAAATTATCGTTTCACACAATGCCAGTGTAAAAAGAGCTGTGACCACTTGCTGAGTGCCCTGCATATGTTGGAGGGTAGTTTGTATCAGGATCAGACTGCTTTTCTGGTAGATCTCAAGTGAATGGTTGAATTCACACATCCTTTCCATCAGTGCTTGGAAGGAGTGTATATTTTGGGGCTGAACACTAAATGTTTACTGTTTATTGGAGCCTTGAATGGCTGCCAGAGGGCAAAGCATTCCTCTGGAGTCCAAGAACCTGGCCCCAGGTCTGCTATTTGTTTTTTTCAAATCAGACTCCTGGTCAAACCATCTGCTTTTTATTAAAAGAGCATTTTATCATGTGGTGAAACTGTTCTTTTAGATTAATTGTATTCACAACTGGCTGCAGGTTCTTGATGATCCAAAGAATGTTTCTGGAGAGTCAAACTTTGGTAATTAAATCCAGCAATACTTGTGTGTGTCTGCAAGATACAAGATAGCCTGTTTAGTTTTATTTTGAAGTGGAGCTCACTGATGGGAAGTGAAAGTAGGAGTTGTAGTTGTGATGTTCTTGGCTGATGCACGGGGGATGTGAAACACTTCAAAGCACTCTGAGAGCACTGCTTGGCAAGAGTATGCGTGTGGGTTGTGACTTTCAAAGCTTTTGTGGTTGCAGTATCCAGAGAGGCTGTTGTTTAAGACCTTCAAAACTCAACTGGAAGCCCTAATCTTGTTTCCAAGTGACAACTGTCATGTTTCAACCCTTTCCTTGTGTATTCTTCTGTTAGAGGGCATGGAAGTCATGACAGGCTCCTGCCCCAAGTCAGCCAATCTCTTCAAAATATAGAAAACAACTGCCTTAATTATCTTGGGCTTTATATGTCTTTGGATCATTTCCTTAGGGATGCTGACCTGACATTGACTATCTAGTAAAAGTTTGAAGACCAGAGATTGAAGTAGAACCTAAAGGAACAAACTGGTAGAGTTTCCAGAGAGGCAGACTAGGTGTACGAACAAAGCCGAGTCTTATTATTCCAAGATTATTATTTAATTCAAAGTTATTTAAAATAATTAGTCAATGCAATCTGGTTTTCTGTCTAACTCCAGTAGAGAAGAATCTGAACCCTTACTGTTTGCGCATTGTAATAACAGTCCTTTGAGACTCTCATCCTGTTGCTACTAGTTTAATCAGAATTAGTTAATTTAAAGCAACACTCTACATACTACATTCATTTATTAATGGATCAGTGTTCTGAGATGTCTGAGTGAGACCTGAATAAAACAACAGAGTGGTTATGCATGGTTATAAAAGATACAGAGCTAAATTCTTCCACTGACCCAGGCATAAAGAGCATTACTCATGGGAAGAGTCCTATTCTCCTCTTGCATAGTGGCTTACAGATCACTAGGACTATTCTGAATGGACAAAATAAGGGATGCATTGCTGCCTTGGTACTCTCAATGGGAAACTGAAGCACAATCTATTCTGTACGGTTTGACTGCTATCATGGAAATCGTCTGTGACTGACGCAGGAACTCATCCAGCTCTTCAGTCTTCACAGATGGCTTAAAAAAAATCCCTTTCTGTAGTTTGACCGAAATTCATTTAAATTATATTTGAGGTTTTACATTTTTTGTTTAGAAAGCATTGCATATACATCTAAAAGCTTACCAATAAGCTTTTAGTGTTTACTCCCTACTAATTTTGAAGGCAGTGTTACCAGCTCGGTAGGTTTGCACTAGAGCAAATAGTTTTACAGAGAACTCTAAACCAAGTCTCAATACCTTATCTGACATCTAATTTTGTTTGAGTTAGGTAGCATTTCTGCCCTTCATATACTCAAACTTGGAAGAAGATTGCTTCTAGCTTTTGTTTTAGTTCACAATCTCATTGTGTCAGGCCTGTTAGCAATATATTTGCATTTTGACTACTGTGTTTACTGTCTGATAACTAATGCTTCAGCTATCCACCTACTCTCGCAGCACCTCCAATGCCAACGTACACAGCTTACAGGAAACTGTTCTGGATGGAGCACCCAGAAGGCAAATCTGTTGTGATATTTCTGTACTTGAGGTACAGCTCACAACAAAGAGAGAAAAGGAAGCACAGGAAGAATCATACCGCATGACCCATATGCCCATGTTCTCCTTCCCCTTGTTTTTCAGCAGATCATCTGTTCTCACATGAACATGCAGATGGGCATGTTACGGCTCTGAATTTACTAGACCTTGAGCCTAGGCCTGTTGACATCACCAATGTATTACTGATTTCAAAAATCATGCTAGAAATGGCTGCAGAGCAGAAGAAATTTATTCTGAATTTATTAACTAACTATAGAACAAACAGGAATGTATACCCAGCTCTGAACAAAAGCAGAGAAAAGGACCTATGCAGGAGAAAGAATGTTGGTATTTTGTCTATTTGATACTGTAGTTTGCCAGTGCTGTTTCCTGCTATTTCATTCTTTGCTGACTATGCCATCGTTGACTATATGTTTTACATACCTGTCTTAGATTATAATTAATCTATTTTATCTTTCAAGGTGATGGATGTTATTACTGGACTACAGGGAAAGACCAAGGAAGTAAAAAGCAGCAACAACAGGTAAGGGGTCCCTGAAGATATACTCCATCTGTTGGCTTAAATAACTGTAGTCTAAAAATGCTTTCAATCTTTAAATCCACAGCCTGTCAGCAAAGGTTCTGGACTGAATGTTCACAATCTGAAGGAAATATATATCTTTTATTTATCACTTAACTTAGATGTGTTCTATATAATATAAAGCATCTGCTGTTATAGAGCTCATTAGGTATCAGTAGCTTTATGGGTCATCTATTGGTAAAGATCTTTTTACATTGTGATCCATGAGATTTCCCACTGGAATGGATGGAAAATTCCCACTGATTTCCATGGGAGGGACCCACAGAGGATTGCATCCACATCTTAAGTGGAGAGCAGCCAACAACCATTCTCAGAAACAGTAGGAGAGAGTTATGTTCACAGTCAACAAAGCAGGATGCTTATCCTAATAACTGCCTAAGGTTAATGTGCAGAGTGGGTAAAATGAGGCTTATTAGCCTTAAGCATAAGATTAACACCTTGAAAATAGCACAAGCATCTGGTATATCTGCATCAGGAGAGGGGCAGGGCTGTGGTGATCCTACCAGGACTGGAACCTTGATCTGTCAGAAAAATGAAGAAAGGAACTAGTGCACAAGCTTAGATCGTAAAGACATATTGGCTGAAAGAGTCTAGAGAGAAAGAGAGTATTGGGATGTGACTCTTATTATCTTGAAAGTTACATGAACATTCCAAAAGCTTCTCTCCATCAAAGTAATATGCATGTTTTGGAAGTTTAGCTAGGTTCTTGCTAGGCTTGTTCTATAAAAGGTGGGGAATTTGTTTTATGTGGAAGAGAGCACATTGGGAGTGTGTGTGGGTGTGTGTATCTGTGCATGTGTGTTGGCACCTTTTGTAAGTTACAACAATATTTATCCTAGGCTGGGCTATCAGAATAATGCTGATTATTTGCTCTGAGCTTTTTTAAAAAGCCTGAAAGGTGTTTAAAGGCATGCCTGGAATCCAAACAATGGTATCATTGGATGCATACTGACAGGCAGCTAAAACATGTCAAGCATTTGGGGAGGGCAGAATTAGCACACATTCCAGTCACATCTCCAACTCTGCTGCAATTTAACCTTTCTTGATCCTTATACATATCAGTGGGCAGGAAGTCTCTGTAGTCCCTCACTGCCAAGGGCACCAATTTATCTAGTCACCTGTGCTGGCACATTAATCCAAGATCTTTTTACCACAGAACCCATTCCACTGAGAACCTCCCCTCATCATCTCCCCAAATTTCCCAGTATACAAGACTACTTACCAAGGCCAAGGTATGACACCTTTTCAACTGTGGTCATTTTAAAATCAGAGCTTAATCCAGAAACTCTTACTCTGGTGAGCAATGCTATTTAAATGAAAGAGACTGCTTAAATTAGGAGGAGTGGCAGATTTTCATATATCTTGTCTGTTATGTGAAAACAAATTTTCCAGTTTGTATCAAGTAATGAAAAGGGACAGCTATTAATATTAGCAAATTTTCCTTTTTAGGAAGAATTTCCACTAGCAGAGAAAAAATTAAGTCAGACTGGAGAATCAAGACTGTTATTTGAAATAAAAATTGTGCAGTCTGGGCTGGCAAGCCAAAGTTGTGAATGAATGTCCCCATTTGCTAGGTCTTCCCCCCCTTTTTGTACTAAAACCACACAGACATGAGGAAAAAAAGAATATTCCTTAATTTTAGAAGACAAAAGTTTGACTCTTGAGTGTGTCTCTATACCCACTAACCACTCAGGAGCAAATTGCTGTGGTCAAGCACTGAACAACATGCAAGATCTGTGT